TCACTCCTCTTTCCTTTCTTCTCGTACTTTATATTTCTTTTGACTGCATTCACTTATCTTCATCCTTCACCTCACTACCTTTTACTTGATGTGCTGATATGAGGTGTGGCAACTCGGACCGTTACGCAGTAATGCCTGGTCCTATGTTGATAATGATGATGATGATGACTTCAATGTGATACCTTCTCATCTCTTTCGCAATCTGGGCTGCCTTACTGGGTTCAAACATGGTGCGGACACTCCATGTCCCCACATTTACTTTCGCTTTCTTCGAGGAAGAGAAGACACATTGGTCAATCGGCTTCCCGAAGGCAGGCTTTCACCAACTGGCGTCATTTCGCCTCTCCGATTCCAGGGAGGAATAATTTTGTTTTTATTTTTTATATTTTGTTTGTGCTTTGAAGTTTGTTTAGCGGTTATATTTGTTTTCCGGGTAGGGTTGGTAGCCGTATGCCCAACCTTCCCTGTTTACCCGGACTTAGGACCGGCTAGTAAATAGTGAACTAATTAACCAGGCGAGGTTTTAGTCTGGTCGCGTTTAAATTTTTTATTATCTGAATCTAGTTCGGCTAACACAGAGTGACTTGGCAAATGGTGGCTAGGCATGTGTAACATATGTTTCAACCAGTTAAGTCGCTGAAAGTTCGCAGCCAAAGTGACCAACTCTTCATCCTTGCCTAGTACTTCTCTCCTGACCTCTATGTTGCTCACATGGTGGTTCCACCATTCTTGAGCAATCCTACAAAGACACCTATGATCAAAAGCTTGCAGTCTCTTTACATCTACTTTCAGCGACCACAACTCAGCCGCACAAAAGTATAAAACGAACTGCAGTGCAGTATACCCGTCCTTTAATAGGTGGTCGGATATCTCGTCAGTCGGCGCTAGAGGTGAAGAAACTTGGCAAATGCCAAACAAACCTTTTTTTTTACTTGACTTGGTACTTTGTCAGCAACCAGCCTGTTTAAGCTGGTGCAACTTTTGATCAAATAAAGTTGTTGACACGTTCAAGCCCTTCACTCAACATCAATTAACTAGTAGTTTCAGACCAGTCCTATGGGATCATTCTTCATCTGATAGGTACCAGTAAAAAAGACATGCCAAACGTACTCATATTTCTGCTCAACGGGCTCAGAAGGTGCTAAATTTTGTCGGCGTTATCGCCTAGCAGGACAGTGTCGTCTACATACTCCAAGTCAACTAGATACTCTCCAGAGAGTTGATCAATCCCTGTGAAGTCAGACGTACCTATGCTTATGTTCACTAGTACACTTATCAGGGAATTAAACAGAAACCGTGACAGTGGACACGACTAGCTGTCGTCAATTCACATAATAAATCTGCAAGAGCCCTTACATGACTGCCCGACTTCGAGTAGAGAGCTTTGATTAGTGTTATATATTTCCATGTTACTCCTCTCACAATCACATACTGCCACAACACCTCACGGTCGATGGATTCAAGTGCCCTCTTCAGGTCAAGAAATATGGCAAGTGTCGACCGCCGGTTGGTATGCTTGTACTCCAGAACCCGTTGAAGAGTGAAAGTGTGGTTGACCCATTCTCGTCTAGGCCTGAAACCTATCTGATTTCTCGAGTCTACTGTTCTCGAGCTCCAGTTAAGTGTCGGATAACCATGGACCCTAGGATCTTGGACACAACATTATTCAAACTAATTCATCCAGTATGGTTATCACAAGAAGACTTATCTCCCTTCTTATAGACTGGGATGATCAGTGAAGTAGACCAGTCTGACATCACAACCTGTGGTTTCCATACACTGTCTAGCATTTCCATTGCTCTAATAATAATAATAATAATAATAATAATAATAATAATAATAATAATAACAATAATAATAATAATAATAATAATAATTGCTCTAATAATTTCGTACCTCCAGTGTGGCAGGTCGTCATATCCTACTATCTTACATTTTCAAGGTCGGAGGTAGGAAATTGTTGAATAGAGTTGGAGAGTTACTATGCCACACGAACTATTTGACTGAAAGGAACGGTGGGTGAACACCAGAAGCCTCATATCCTCTACCTTCGGTGGCAATATTTTATAGGTGTATAACAAGACAGAGCGGACCCCAGCTTTGTACATTGGATGTTTTATAGACAATCGGATAACACGGCGGCTCCGTAAATGGCGTAGGTTGGCGAAAGTCAATCGAGCCTTTTGAGTCTGTGTACTGGTTTTGTCGGTCACTGACCCACCAGAGTTGATTTGACTTCCTAGGTGAGAGTAGTGGTCAACGCGCTCAACCACATCGCTCCTTATTATTGAGCAAGACTCTGGTAAAGACCAGTCTTTGAGGGACAGTTTGGACTTGAATGCGACATTCGCATACTAAACATTCTCAAATTGTCACTTAAGGTGTCCAGAAGACTTCATCTTCTCTTAACAGGACCATGTCTGCGTACCGTAGATTTTCTTAGGATTCTCCTGTGCTAAGATCAATCCCTGTGAAATTAGACGAGGAGAGGTAGACCCTCATACATGTGCCTATAGGAAAGTTGAATAAAAATGCGGACAGTTGACATCTGTTACGGACATTACTCGACGTACACGAGTCACTATGGGCTCTAGCGTGCTCATGGGTGTTCAGATGCAGAGCGTTTAACTAGTTGAGGTAATCACGTGGCAGCCTTCTGATTGAGAGACATTGCCATAAGACTTCTCGATCGACGTGGTTTATTGTGCAACTGCTAATTGTACTATCTCGAGAGTTTGGGTGTTGTTTGAACCCGTGACCTGATGACTGAAACCAAGTGCCTAGACTAATGAGTCACAGCCCCATATGAAAAGATAAGTAATTTTGCACTAATGACTTTGAATTGTGGCTACTAGATATATGATCTACTTGTGTACATGTGCTCGGTATCTGTAACTGATGAGATAATATCCCTTCTTATGTATTTATTAGTTTGTAGTGGACTGAAAATAGTAGAGCTGTGGCTCAATGGTTTGGTGAAATGATTTCCAACCGATAGGTCAGGAGTTCCAGTCGCGCTCCACCTGCCGAGGTTTGGGCAGCCAGATAGTATCACTAGCCCTTCTCACACAATAGGTTTGGCTCATTGCCGACTGTACGAATGTGCACAAGGCTCTTGAGTACATTTCGATTCGATTCGGGGTGAAAATATTGAGTATCAGAAACCAGTGGACTTTCCTAAAATTATCATTGGGTAAGTTATTGGTATGTGTAAAGAAGGAAACAAGCATGAAGGTGGTGAAAGAATTTAATACCTATTCCATATAAGCCTCCAGAAAAGTTTGAATCCCTACAGTCCTCCAAAAAAATGCAACTCTCCAAGCAGTTAATTATCCACTATGCAGACTGGCTTTATATTACTTATGCTTTTGGCGTAAATGAGCAGTTAATTGGTAAGGTTTGTCTCTCCTGCTACATTTTGTCAATAAAATAACTTTCCCCTCCATCGTGTTTTCCAATATTCACCTGAAATTAGACAGCTAAATAACACTAGAGTGATATAAGTTCAGTGACCCTATGGCCCGATGCACTACGTTTTGTACTATGGTCTTGAGTTACAAGAATTGTTGATAAGTGACTGCCTCCAGCATATCTTTAAGATGACTGGAAAGATCTAACTACCATTCTATAAGGCTAACTAACTACTTTGATTGTTTTTGATAGTAACAGCTTTCTTCCCATTGAGACAACGACCTTAGGCCTTAATTAAGACGAATTAATATTAGTTACTCAAAGTAATTTTTCAAACAATCCCACACAAATAAAATTGACCCCTAAACCAACAGTTCACCAACTCTGACGTTCATCCAACGTGAAACTTCCATCGGGCAGATAAGTTTTTGTGGTAGATATTAAAAAGCAGTAGATAGGAAGCCCTTAACCTGGGTTTCGTGCACATCGGCACTCATCAGTAGGGCGTATTTGCAACAATGAGAAAGCTGGTGTCTCATCACTGATTGTAATTTGCGTCACTTAGTTCTGAAATCAAAGGCTTTGGCCCAGTTATTCAGGTCACTATCAGCTGTTCGAATTTGATCAACGCTAATCCTAAAGAAGCAGACAACCACATTTATCTAAGATCCTAGGGGTCCATAGTTATTCCACACGTAACTGGAGCCCGAGAACTAAATGTTGAGAAAGCCAGGTTACTCGCAAACCTGAATACTGTTGCATCGACTGGATCTTCGAAATGGTTTTCAACGCAGTCACACTTTACAGGACCCAACACTTACCATCTTGCTGAACCTGAGGGCGGCGCTCAAGTCTATCGATCGAGAGGTGTTGTGACATTGAGTGTCTGTGAAGTGGGTACGAAACGTGATCAAGGCTCTCTATTCAAACTCGCACAGCCGTATGTGGGCTTATAGGAAGTTTTTATATGAAATGACGCTAGTCGGAGGTCCGCGCTGTAATACCTGCTGTAACTATTTATGTTTAACTTTATTTTAGATGTGTTAATGAATATAACCTTAGGCTTTACATGGATTGACTTACTCCGAAGGTGGCGTCTGGTTGACTTGGAGTATGCATACACATTGTCGTGTTAGGTGAAGACGGCGACAAAATTTCGAGTCTTCTAAACGTGTTGATCAGAAATGTGAGTATGTTTCGGATCCGTTTTACGTTTCTCAAATATAAGGTGTTACTTGAACTCAGTGTTTTTGTGAGGATCACTAAGAAGTTCTAATAAATGTAACATGTAACGTGTCATTGCATACGTTAAATATGTCCTTCGAACTTTTACATATCCTTTGAAATGTTAATTGCTAGATCTTTATTACGTGCCTCAAGTTAGTTCTGCTAATCAGCTTGCCATCGTGGAAACAAGTAAGATACATGTATACATGCTTTGAAGATATATCAGTAGATGAACCAATCGTAATGTTACTTACGCCTATTGTGTTTACTTCAGTATACATATTTTATTTTCATTTTTAACAAAGTTAACTTTTAGCAGCGAGTACTTACTTGTCAACTACTTTTTTAATATTGTATTTCAGTCTGTCAAAGAGTATTGTTCATTGGTGCCATCAGAAGATGATCATTCTGCAACACAGTTTGCAAGAATACTTATACCGGGATTTAGCTTAAAAGGTTTTTTACGCTCAGCTGTTATGAAAGCAGCTCACTCTTACTACAACTCCTCATCTAAAGATACATATATGGGATACATGCATATCTGTAAAATGTACAGTAACACTTGCCATTCCCAAAAATCAAATCTGCAAGCAAACGATGTACCTAGAAGTTCAGTACGGGTTGGTAGTACGCCTGAATTCACTTCATCCAAACTACCTTAGGTGGTCGTGGCCGATTCTGGATCGAATAAATGATTTGAAAAGGAGACAAAATCAGCTATCATTTTAATTTTTCTTATCTTTAGTCGCAGTTTCCCAATTATAGGATAAATTGCTTCTCTTTGGCGCTTTTGAGATGTATGATAGACACGTTAGTTTCATTGTTTGTAAACACCAATGTTTTCTACTATTGGACTACCTAATATTCTAGAGGATTCAACAATAAACCTAATATTAAAGTATCGTTTTTCATTTCATTGTTTGGCTTGGATATTAAACGAAATACTGTTTGCATTTCTTGTAGTTAATTTTAAGAAATAGTTAAAATCTTACTGTATTTTGAATCATGGAGTCCTGTAATTCACAGTAAGAGTTGCTTATCCTATATGTGGTCAAGGGTTCATGCTACTGAGTTTTGGATAAGGATTCGTGATTTTGTTAGTTCTCCCCGGTTTTCTTCAAATCATTCCAATATCTCACCAACCAGTTCATCAGCTAACTTTTTTTTCACCGGTCTATTACTATCCGTTGTTAACAGCATCCGAAGCCGTTACCAAAAAGAACACTAAACCGTCACTAAAAATAACTACTGATTCGCTACTTTTTATTAATATAAGAGTAAAACTTGGGCACTGTGGTCGATTGTAATTCCATTTTAGTCTGTTTGTTAGAAATATCACACAGTGAAACAGTAGCATTTACTGGATAACGTTTCGTACACAATTTATTGTCCATATTCATATCAGGTAACTCTACAACTTCGAGACACTGTTTCACTGTGTGATATTTCTAACAAACAGACTAAAATGGAATTGCTACTTTTTACAGATTTCAAAATCACTTGTTGTTTCTGTTAGGGATGCCTAAATTCTGTATATTCCATACTTACAGTCTGGGTATATTTAAACTGTTTTACTTCGCTCTGTTTTCCCTCGACCGATAGCTGCTACATTGACGTGGTGATCAGGCACGCATGTCACAGTGACCCAACGAGCTATACTGGTGGAACGCTTATTCCCTCGAGGTCGTACCATACCAGAAAGGTCTATTGGGTAGTGGTTAGACGAAAAGCAGTTACCGTTATAGTGTAAATTGCTACACTATGATGGGTGTGTGAAGGTGAAGTCATACTGCTGCTAGCTGGATGGGGTGTGACAGCAGTAAGGTGTTTCCCTTGGATGACCAGCAGTGCCATGCTGATGCTGCCTTCTCAGTGGAAGGGGGGGTTAGAAAAGGTCGGCCCCAAAAATAACACACTCCACCACGCCCCACGGTCTGCGGGGCCGGCGGTGTTGGTTCACTTGTCGTTTCCTTTCGACCATCCGGCCCCAAAAATACAAAAGTTCAAAATAATCATACTCAAAAGGCTGGGTGTGACAGGCCTCAAGCAGATGTCCGATGGGCTCTGCGGTCACACAAATCTCTTTCAGGTACCTTAAGAAGAAATAGCCTTCCACGGTGTGGGCAGCCGGGAAGTGTCAACCGCCCTCACAACTCTGTCAGCACCCAAGTTTCTTCTGACTGCTATCCTCCTCCTCCATCATTACCTTCTAATCTTCCTTCACGTCTCTTAATTAATGATGCTGCATCATCTTCAATTTCTCCTACCTCTGCAGCCTTCGACAACGATCTGAGTCCACAGAACAGCATCCCTGGTCTCCTTAAACCACGCTCCAAATTACATATTGGAGCCTTCAATGTCCGCACCCTCCGTCAAATTGGCCAACAGGCTTCGTTGGCAAAGACTCTAGCAACTCGGGCATGGATGTGTGCTGTGTTTGTGAGACACGCATACAGGACCCAAGTGTGGTTATTCACCTGACCTCTCCTGACCAATCTGGTGAATCTGCAAAATTCACCCTTCGAGTTTCTGGAGATTCGATAGCTAGCTCTCGTGGTCTTGCAGGTGTAGGTATAGCATTAAGCACCAGGGCAGAAAACTCACTACTAGACTGGATCCCAGTTGATAGTCGCCTCTGCGCTATGAGGCTGAACGGCACAGTGAGAACTAAAAGGAATAGTGAGACTCGCCGTTGTCTCTTTGTAATCTCTGCTTACGCACCCACTGACTGTAGTTCGGATGAAGTGAAGGACGAGTTCTACCATAAACTGTCTAACCTCCTCTCGAAAGCCAAACGTTCGGACGTAGTGGTTGTTGCAGGTGACCTCAACGCACAGGTGGGTAGACTGAGTGAGGCAGAAAGGCACTTAGGTGGCACTTTCGGAATCCCAGCTGAACGTACAGATAACGGTGATCGCCTATTACAACTATGCTCAGATAACCGCCTATTTTTAGCCAGCACCAATTTCAGACATAAAGAAAGGCACTGTCTGACCTGGCGTCCACCGAGCTCAACTCAGCGATGGACACAGATAGACCACATTGCTATTAGTCATCGCTGGAGAGGATCGGTGGAAGACTGCCTCTCCTTCTGGAGTACGTGTTTGGACAGCGATCATGCGTTGGTCCGAGCACGTATATGCCTGCGTCTCAATGGACGTAGAAAAAATTTGGCAACAAAACCACTACGAGTGCTGCTGGACAACGGAAACACCAAAGGTGTGTTCAGTGAGAAGTTGGCTAGGCAGTTATCAGAACAAAAGACTGTCACTCATCCAGAAGAAGCTTGGTTCCTTCTTCAGTCTGCTGTAAAAGCAGCACTGAATACTGTAACCGACTCTAAAATAGTGGCTAAAAAGAGCCAGTGGATATCAGCAGCTTCTTCCAAACTAATGGATGCACGTGAATGCATCCCTGCAGGCTCTGAGTACAATGAAGAGCGAGCGCAACTTAAAAATAGACTGACGAAAAGTCTGCGCAACGATCGTGAACAGTGGTGGGCAGCAAAGGCTAAAGAGATGGAAAAGGCAGCGGCGATCGGTAACAGTAGACAGTTATTTAGACTTATTAAGGAGACTGGGGGGAAATGGTCAACAACAGTTAGTGAGGTTATAGCGGAGAAGGACGGATCGGCGATTCACTCGCAGGGAAGGCGACTGGGACGATGGGCAGAACACTTTGAGGAACAGTTTAACTGGCCTCCAGCCACCATTGCGCTGCCCGCTATCCAGTCGGACCCTGAATGGGACATAGAGACAGGTCCCCCAACACTAGAAGAAGTTGAGAAAGCGGTAGGTAGCCTGAAACGGGGAAGGGCAGCAGGACCAGACGGACT